TTCTGCAGTAATTATTTAGCAATAGCCTAATTATTCCATTCTACCCTCAGCCTGTTCAAAAAGAATTCTGGCTAATTCAAATTTGTAAGAGTTAACAAAGGCATAATAATTTTTGGGTTTTAATAAAATTTTAATACAAATTTAAATCATAGACTTGCCAACTTGTTGCATCTAATTTGATAGATTAAGATAATTTAATAATCAATTTTACAATATTATATTGAACTGATTTTTTTTAGAATAATACCAAATTATTTAATAATTAATGAAAACAAGGATTAGTCTCTTCAATTGGATTCAAATAATATAATAATAGCTCCTATAAATGATTAGCTTTTATTAAAACTAAAAAGCTTATGCAAAATTTATAGCTAATGAATTGGAAATAATTTTAAGGAAAATAATTTCTAAATTTATTAATTTCATCATTAAAATAAAGGTCATTTTTACAAAGGATGCTTTTAATTAACACTGAAATTTGTAATTTTTTAAGTTCAATTTCTTTTGATAATGCTAACTAAATACCAATAATATAAAAAAGTATTTAAATTTTGGATGATTCATATTTTTTACTTGCGATCTTAAGATCAGAAAATATTTTTTCAGCTTCTTCATTCTCTGTTTTACATTAGATTTATTTTTTTTGAATTTAATGTTTTATAGTATTTAAGAGATCAATGAGTAGATTAAGGACTTCAATAAGCCATCAATTATTTTATAGAGTACTCAAAACAATAATTTTTTAAGAAGTTAGTTTAGCTTATTTTTATATAGAATTAAGAACGGCGATGTTTTTCAAATTAAAATAAACTGAATATAAACAATGATAAAATATGAATCTACTCATAAATTATAATATTTATTTGATAAAATTTGAAATTCTATTAGATGAGTTTAAAATTAAATCATGTTGAATTAATAGAATTATTATTTATTATAATGATGATAGAAAACGAAAAATAATTTACCCGCCAAAAACACAATCTTCCAATAATTTCAGTTTTGCTTAATCCAAAACTACTTTAGAACGAAAGATTCCTTTGCTCTGAATGCTTAAATTCTAGAACATATGATGAATAAATGTAAGATTTTCGGAGAACTTTAGAATTAATTTAACATTAATATAATGAGAAATTTATATTAATACAAGATATTATTAATCAATCCATTGAAATTATTCAAGTGCTACTGAATAAAGTTTAAGAATTAAGATAAAAAGTCATTAATGAATTAAACTAAGTGATTGATTAAATATAAAATTGGATTTCTAATTTAAAACAAAAAGAAGAAAACTATTCTAAATTTAGTTTCTACAAAAAGTTAGAAAATTTAATAGGGAATCCTAAAGAAAATATACAAAATTTGGAAAATTAATTATTGTTTTAATTCCAAGGTAATTACTAAAATATAATAATTTTAACAATTATAAGAATTTGAGAATTGTTTAAAACAATTGAAAATATTAGAACAAGATAATTAATAATTTAATAAGGATTTACAAAAATTAGAATAACAAATCCTTAAAACATCTGCATTAAAACTCAAATAATAAATATAAGAAGAGTTCGAGTTAGTTAATGAATCTCTTGAGTAAAAATTGGAATGTAATGCAATTGCTTTTAATTCTTCTGGGACAATTATAATATCAAATTAAGAAGAAAATATTAAAGTTTGGAGTTTCAATAATAGATTAATAGACTAAATAACAACTTTATATGGACATAATGATTGGATATATAGTCTAATTTTTAGTAAGAAGCATAATTCATTTTTTCAGATTCAGGAGATAAAACTATTAGATGCTGGAAAAATATAAATTAAAATGTTTGGATTAGTTCATAACCTTATTAACTGCACCAGATTGGGTGATGAGTATCATTATAAATTCATAAGAGGATTTACTTTTTTTCTGGAAGTAGTGATAATTCTATTATAGTTTGGAAGGTGGATTTAAATAACAATAAATTGTCTTATTGCTAATAATTATCAAAGCATGATGCCAAAGTTATTGCATTAAGCTTAAATTAAATCTGAAAATTATTTAGTATCATGTGCAGTTAATTAGAATTCAATTATTTTATGGGAAAAGAATTAAATAAAATAATTTGAATTTAAATATATTGTTAAATAATCAATCTAAGCAGAAGGAGCAAAACTTAAGTTTATTAATGATAGCTAGTTTATATGGATAACTGGAGGTACGGAATTAGATTAAGTCTGGGTGTTTGAATAAGAGGAAGGAATTTTTTAAGAAAAGTAACAAAAGACAATTGATTTAGACAGAAATAATAAAGTTAAAGATGAATTTTTTTTTCCAATAATTTACAATAAATAGAGGAATTGAAGCTTAAAATGGAATGTATGAAGTAATTAATCAATAATAATGTTTTATTTGTGAAATTTATAGAACATTCACAGAGAATGGATAATACTTAGTTTTTTGGAATAAGGATAAATAAAAATATTCAATTTATGAATTATTAAATAAATGAATATATTAAAATGAGCTTTTTTATTATTATAATTTATCAATATAGTAATATAGTTAAAAGTAGAGAGACTTTTTATTAGTTCTAAAATAAATAAGTAAGAGTGAGTGGGTTCAGATAAAATTTACCTACTGTTGAAAAAAAAAGAATTTACTACTGGAGGGCGCTGTATTAGATGCATTACCTCAACAGCTAAACTCAGATTGTTAAAAAAATTTTTATAAATATTAATTTTCCGGAGCAACATAAATTTTCTCTTAGTTAGGTTGTTTGAGAAGAGGACACCTGGTACTGCAGTAGGTTGGACCCAGAAAAAAAACCACTTCTGAAAAATAACAAAAAAACCTGTAGGAAATTTGCAGAATAAAAATACAAATTTTTAATATAAAATATAAAAATATTATTAAATAT